ACAGTGCACATTTCCAGTTCCTAAACTGGTGTATTCCTTCTTGATATAGCTGTTAGACTGCACATTTCCAGTTCCTAAACTGGTGTATTCCTTCTTGATATAGCTGTTATTAGTGCACACTTCCAGTTCCTAAACTGGTGTATTCCCTCTTGATGTAGCTGTTGTTAGTACACACTTACAGTTCCTAATCTGGTGTATTCCTCCTTGATGTAGCTCTTATCAGTGCACACTTACAGTTCCTAAACTGGTGTATTCCCTCTTGATGTAGCTGTTAGACAGTGCACATTTCCAGTTCCTAAACTGGTGTATTCCCTCTTGATGTAGCTGTTAGATAGTGCACATTTCCAGTTCCTAAACTGGTGTATTCCTTCTTGATGTAGCTGTTAGACAGTGCACATTTCCAGTTCCTAAAATGGTGTATTCCTCCTTGATGTAGCTGTTATTAGTGCACACTTACAGATCCTAAACTGGTGTATTCCTCCTTGATGTAGCTGTTAGGTAATGCATCCTTCTAGTTTATAAACTGGTTTATTCCCTCTTGATATAGCTGTTAGTACATACATCCAGTATTGTGTTTTAGAGTTCTGAATTGGAAATCTTATTTAATTTTTCATAAAAAAGGTTCAAAGGAAAATATCCTTCCACTAAATTTAATAAAAAATTACTTGTACTTTTTTTATTTTGACTCAATCTCACATTTGGGGTTAACCAGACTAATTTGATTTTATTGTTGACCGAAGGGTACTATGAAAAAAGATGCATCTTTCACAAGGTGATCTGAATTATTCCCAAACAGTAATTTGTTGTAGAAATAAGTTTCATTTTATTACTGAGATGAAGAGAAAAAAAAAATTCTGCAAGATCATTTAGAAACAAATTAAACATTATTTTGTGTTTTAGGTAAATCCATGGATTTTATTTTTATATTAATTATTATACCTGATTACTGTAAGAAAATACTATAAGACTTAAAAGCAATAAATATAAATATTTTACAATTTACTAGTACAATTATTTTATCCAATACATATTCTGGCTAACATTTCACCCAAGGCATAAATAACTTGTGCACTACAGATGTGAACTGAATATGTACTGAGAAATATTTTCTGTACACAGCATACATATTTTATGTACAAACAACATTCCTATTTATGAGGTCTTCCATACAGAAATTTTCTTATCTTCACCGCCAGTCACTACTAAACTTCCATCCTCAGACACATCAATACAGATCACAGGTCCTGGATTAATTAATTATTAGATAAAACACCAAACCAAACAATCCAATAATAAAGTTCCTGTATTAGAAACATACATGTCGCAAAATTACCACACTCATTCTGAAATAAACAAATACTAGCATAAAATTGTTGAATAACATAAGTTCACTGACTTAACACAAAAATAGTTGAATAGGATGGTTTTTAAGTATTTTAGCATAAAAACACAATTGAATACGATGGTTTTCACAGATTTTTTGTGGACTGACAGAAAGCTTACCAAATTATTGGGAAATAAAAACCTGTTGGTTTATTAGAAAAATTTAAAAGTTCATATATTACACAATGTGTTATAGAATAGTTCCTATGTCCAAAAGAACAGTTAGGTCACTGTTATCAGTTCAGTCTTTACACTTTAATGCAGTGTACATGAACTGAGCTAATCCAATGTAAATTATATTCCCAGTTCAGTTTTTAAGTTTAATACAGTGTACATACACCGCACTAACCCAATGTCCCATAACTCTGTTCCCAATTCAGTCTGTAAGCTTTACTAAAGAGGGTACAAGCTGAGCTAGCCCAATTTCACATAACTCTGTTTCCAATTCTAAATGCAGTATTTAAGTCTTAATACAAAGTGCATATGAACCAAGCTAACACAATAACACATACACTGTTCTCAGTTTAGTCTTTAAGCCTTATTATAGCATACATGAGTCCAACTAACCCAGTGTAACATAACTCTGTTCCAGTTCAGTATTTAATATACATGAATCAAGCTAACCCAATCTTACATAACTCACTAGCAGTGTGAAACTCCAACCTATAATTAGCAGGAAATGAGAACATTGTTTGATGGCCCTTCCTAATCTAAACTAAATGAGTTTTTGATTAATGCTTTCTACTTAAAAGATTTCTAGACACATTGCATTATAATGTTCTAGTGTGGCTTAACAATACATAGCAATAATGATAACACCACAAGATAATGTTTACCAGCTATACTTATTATATATACCTTCAAAACACTGCAACAAATATCTACATTATAAAACAGCACAACCATCATTTTTTAATGTTATCACAATTAATTAACTTACATAAAAACATTTTGAATTTATATATAACTAGTAGGTTTTACACATACCATTAAAATTGAGTAATAGGATCCACTCATTAAAAATTTCAAAAGTTTTACTTAATATCTAGTACAGAAAGTCTAAATAGAAAATTAATTTAGGAGTTAATGAACTTCAGAAAAAAAATTTACTAAACTTTAACTTACACACTTAAATTGAGATTGTTATTTACTAAAAACAAAATTTTTTCTTTAACAATCAAACTTACATTACTTTCGTACTGAATAACAATAACTAGAAAATAAACGACAAGGCACAAAACTTGTTCTATACATAACTTTCTACAAAAACTTCAAAAGTAATGTATTTAATTCCTAAAATAACTGAAGATTTTAAAATATATCATTTTGTACTATCTATGCAACAAATTGCTTGTGGGTCCGTGACTATATTGGTTACATCCTTTATAACATCAGTCACACAAAAAATGCAGAAACGTTACATTTATATATTTTAGATAGAATTCCATCCAATTTTTTATCAGATCTTTACACCAAATGTTGCAACAAGGAAAAGTATAAATTACTTATATGATGCAGTATGAAGATCCCACTGGTATAAACATAAGTTGGTGATTTCAGGGCTAAAACAAATATGCATTATTATAATCCAATCTGGCCAAAAAATAAGTTGATAACTTTAGTTTACTCACCTATGTGTCCTGAAATAGTGTTAAGAAGCTGTGCTTTTGTTAAGTCCCAAACCATAATATTACCTCTCTCTCCTCCTGTAAAAACAGTAGAACCATCCCAGCAAAGACATCTATAAAACCAAAATAAAAGATATCATTAGAAAAAAATAATTCGTTTTTTTTAAAGAAAGGTTCTTTAATATTGAGGAAGAGGTTGCTTATAATTACAAAATAGATACCATAATATTACAAAGCACAATACACATGCTCTGTATGCTTAAATATCATCCAAATTCAAAATGTTTGTTTCCCCTATTCTGACTCTGCTGTTTGTGACATTTATAATCTAACGTAGAATGTGGTTTGTGTCCTTTCTGTCATATTAATGCTATGTTTGGTCTATTTTTATATTGAATAGTATGTGCTTTATAGCATACATTACAGTTTCCTTCTTCGGTCACACTTTGTAGTATGCTAGCTAGCTAGCTATCAAACATAGATACAAGGTGAACAGTATATTGAACGTATGCATGAACCACTTTCTAGTCCCTTCAAGATATATGAACATTGGCAAGTCTAGCTAATGTTACTAACATAAAGCCAAATTTGGTACTTTAAATACTGAAATGATTTAGATATGCACTTAAACACAAACACATTTCTTTCAATATTTTTAATTTTCAAAAATAGAACAAAAACTTTTAACAAAAATAAAATTAACCATTAGAAACTTGAACATCTATCAAATTGTCTGCCTCAGATATTTCTGTATTAACTTCCTTGTAAAATAAAGTTTGATGATTTTTTGAAGAACAGTTGAGGTCATCATATCTATTCATACGAATGCATTTCATTTTCTTGGGCTGTGCTTTGGAATCACTTTTCCTTGCTTTTGCAAACATCATGTACTACGAAAATAAGTTTTGAGGATTTCTTACAGCTCCCAATCTTTCTCATCTCCTGGACAAGCACAATGGTAACAGATATGTTTCTGTGTATATAATGGAAAACTTATTCAATATTAGGTAAATGCTACTGGGGTCCCGAGTTCATCTGCAACCTTACATGAATAGCTCCTTATAAAGTATCTCCTAAAAAAAAAAAGACATAAACGGATGAAAATTATAATTACAATGGAAAATTTAACCTATACAACTTTAGTATGCAACAGGTGATTAACTTATTCTTGTTCTCAGTGGACATTGTAACAACTATGTCAATTCCTTATATGTGAAATTACCGACTGTGGGTTTGAGGAAATGAGATAGTTTATTTCAGAAGCAGTGTTGGATATACTGAATAAAAAAACTGGATCTAGAATGAAGGAAAAATTACTATTTCATAAAGCTTACAATCAATGACCCTCAGATATAGTCATACTTTTCTAATGAGCCATGGATATAATTCTGCTTTTCTAATAAGCCACAGATACAGTCACACTTTTCTAATAAGCCACAGATACAGTCACACTTTTCTAATGACCCATGGCTATAGTCAGACTTTCCTAATGACCCATGGCTATAGTCAGACTTTTCTAATGAGCCACAGATATAGTCACACTTTCCTAATGACCTGTGGGTATAATCATAGTTTTCTAATGACCTACAAGTATAGTCATACTTTTCTAATGACCCATGGCTATAGTCATACTTTTCTAATGACCCATGGCTATAGTCAGATTTTCCTAATGAGCCAAAGATATAGTCAGACTTTTCTAATGACCCATGGCTATAGTCAGACTTTTCTAATGTGTCACAGATATAGTCAGACGTTTCTAATCGGCCACAGGTATAGTCATACTTTTCTCATGACCCATGGTTACTGTCATACTTTTAGTGACTCACATATATAGCCATGCTTTTCAACAACCACATGTATAGTCATACTTTTCTAACTACCCATAGGTACAGTTAGAAGATTCTAAAACTTGGCCAGGGCTACAGAATCCTTTGCTGGAAGAGCCCTCTTTGAGTTAAATGTATTTTGGCTTTTGACACTTTACAATTTTTCAGATATCTTGTGCTACTAATGCAGCATTTTTGATACCCTGAAATAAACAACCAGGACTTCACAAAAGCTGCAGCTGCTAGATGTTGAAATGCTTTAGCACTCTAATTTTAAATGAAATGCTCAGAGTGCATATTTTTTTTTAGAACTTTTAGATGTGAGTACTATCCTTACTTTCTATTTTTCTATGTTACTGATATAAGCAATTGTTAGCACTTGTATATCAGTATCTGTTCAGCAATAACTGGAACTTTAAATGTAATCTGTGCAAAAGGCTTATCCTTCTCACTTGTGTCCTGACAAACTACCCTCTCAAGACACTCAGTCTGATTATCTCCAGCCTGCAAAATTGGATCTGGTGCCCAGTGAAAGTTTTCTTCAAATCTATTTGGAGTACGGCAGTTCAAATTTGGACATTTTCTGATTTGGAAAATGTATCTTCTCTTCTTTACTATTTTACCCTTCAATATGAGCTATTGCAGCTTGTATCACTTCAAACAGGGAAAGACGTTTATGCAAAACACATACGGGTAACTCTGAGTATTCCTTAAAAACATTGCAATATTTTGTTAAAGTTTATAAGTATTTTGTATACAAAGAATGACATTATTTTAATTACGTCTTTCTATAGTGGATACTTGCATTCAAACTGTTAAAATAGTTTGAGTGCAAGGTGAATTTCATTTTAAGTGCCAAAGTAGAAAATTTTTACAGCTCATTGGTCACATTAACGTACATCTGAAGTTTTAAGTAGTTTTCAAAGGTATCTTTTAAAATAAAGGACTTAAAACTGAAATAATATAAAATTTCAATTCATAACATACATTATAATATTAATGTCATTCATATACATTGAGAGTAAAGGTGTTTAAATAAATTTTGAATGTAACTCAGTGACTTGCACAGAAAAGCATTTAAAGGGGCACCCCACTGTGAAAGAGTTAAATGAAAAACAAAGCTGAATGTAATAAAACAAACAAACTGGGTATGAGCACACTACATAATGTTAGTGGTAATTATGCAAATAGTAAGTTTTTATATATATTTTGTACAAAATGTTTTGACATCAGAACATTGATAAATAATTACAAAATATATCATTTACAAATTGAAATTTATACAGCAAGCTCGATGACGAGGAACCCACTTTGAGACTAATAATGGCTGGAGACGGCTTGAATGGGTAATGAAGCAAAACTTTAATATAAGTTTAACATAACAGCAAGTGTACAACGTTTCGACAAAGGTTTGTCATCATCAGGTACAAGTAATTTACACTGTCCATCTTAATTGAACAAAACAACCCTACTCTAAACCAACACCCTAGGGTGCCTAGATACCTCTTCTAAGTTTCACAACAGTTCCGGTCATGTGACTTCTTTGTTCAATACTGTATATATATATCCATGTCAGTGTAAATTACTTGTACCTGATGATAACAAAACCTTGTCGAAACGTTGTACACTTGCTGTTATGTTAAACTTATATTAAAGTTTTGCTTCATTACCCATTCAAGCCATCTCCAGCCATTATTATACAGCAAGCTGTTTCATTCAATATAAATACAAATAAATAAAAGTAAAACTATGTACAAATAAAATAATTAACACACCTGCTTTGGATGACTCTACTGACATTGAACAATCTCAATAGAAGGATACACTGTACATAGAATTGTTTTCTCTAATGCCTTGACAGCTTCATAACTGGCAGCAATTAACTGTTTTCTTTTAGGAGCTAGCATTTCTGTCATGTCTTCAAGGCTTTCAATGATGAGTTGCATTGATTGCAACTACGATTCCTTCAATTCCTGGTTCCTCTTGGTTTTAATATGAAGTGATAATTTTCCTATACTGAAAATGTATTTCCGATAGGAACTTTTCTCTGCTCACCTAAATAGCTATTCTCATTCAGTGCTGCCCTCTATATGCAAAAATGTTTCTGCACACGCCACAAGCCTTGAAACTCCCATCCATTTAGAATTGACTAATTCCAATGCAAGTTATCATATAACAACCCTCCACCAATAAGAGTGTGACACACACACACTTGACTCTTGTGACTCCCTCTATTCAATTCTACCAAACTATCACTTTGAGTATTGGCAGAAAATTGAAGCACCAGTTTTCAGTGGGGAGGAAGGGTGGGAAATGTGAGGAGAGGTAAGTACCTGTCGGAAATATATTATCAGTGTAGGAAAATTATAACTTCTAATACAGTACCTTATCTCCTCTCACATAAATAGCTAGAATCCCATACTGAAGAGGTGGAGGGATCAGTGTGAGGGAAAGAAATAACCATCCTTCGAAAGTGTCCAGAGGATATTTCCAAAAAAGTAGCTCTTCAGATTTGAAGATCATATGTGGGAGACTGCACCACTTCTGAATCAGGTATACTCTTTGCCTATTATGAAAAGATGTCACATATATGGGCAGAAAAATGGAGAAGCACATCCAAATGAGAAAGAACAATGGCAGGATAGTGATATGAACCATACATAATTTATTAAAGTAATAAAACTCAATCCCAGAAAACATAAAAGTGGGTAATATTAAAGGATGTGCCCCTAGGTGTCAAGTGGCTAGGGTGCAACGAACTGTACACAGCAAGTCAATTACATCCAAAACCCATGTTGCTGGGAACCAACATTCACGCAGGAGTAGGATGAGGATCATACCATAGGTAAGTCAACTGCAATCCAAAACCCGGCCAGCTGGTATCGACATCCATGCGGGGGTAGAAAAGAGGATCATACCACTGGCAAGTTGGCTACAATCCAAAACCCAGGTTACTGGGTTCTAATATCTAAGTGGGGGTAGGAAAGAGTAATAAAAGATAACTTACCCAGTCAAAGTCTCACTGTACATTGAAGAACAGCTACAGCAGAAGATGATAACCCAAAGATGAAGATACCATGATTCTATGCAAGTAGTGAGAGACAAATGTATGAGGGGTAGTCCACATGCTTGATTGAAGAATTTCCTCCAAGGGATGACACAGGTGAGATGCCAAGGAAAAGGAAAGGTGTCATATTTGATGAGACGACAATCAAAACAAAGTACAGGAGGAAAACGATATAGAAGAATAAACCAATCAAATTAAAAGCCGAACCCAATTGGTGAGGGTGGAAGGAAAAAGATCACCAGAGGATGTCTGCCAAGGAATAAATAGGTGGGACGGGTACCACGGAAGAAAGCCATATGGGCAATATAACAACAAAGAGCATGTAGAGGACACAGAATCTATCCAGATCAGACCAAGGATAAAAGTCTGAAATGAAAGGAAATTGGCAAAAAAAAAAAAAAAAAGCAATTATTCCCTCTCGAGCCATCAATGTTTGGGGGAGGAAAGAATAATCTGGATAAGTGAAACATCGACGGCAAATAAATCTGACCTCCTATATCCAGAGTCTAAAAGGAGGAGAAAATAAGTCATAAGGGAAAGGTGAAACAAGGAGCATGTAGATAGAGGTTTGAACAGAGGCAAAGTGAGGCAGTGAAGGACTATATTAACATCCCAATATGGAAGAATAGCTCGCTGAGGTGGACAACGAATCCGGAAAGACTGCATCAAAAGAGAAAGTAGCAGAGGTATACACCCTACGGTATAGGGAAAAACGAAATGTGTGGGACAAGGCCATCCAATAACCCAAGATCAAGGAGAGAGAAGATCCCAATAGAAAAGCCAAGTAATCCACAATATGAAGAACAGAGGGTTGGTCAGATGAATAGGGGCTTGTCTTGGCTCCAGCTGTGACAAACGTGCAACCAAAGATGACAGGGTCAAGTACTGATGCACAGACTCCAAATGTGATTCCAAAGTCTCATGTATGTTACCAAAAACAGACTGCTGAAGAAAGAGGAGCCATTCATAAATCCCTATGATAAGGGAGCAATAAACAAACCTGGAACAAGGCTTTGTCTCAACCTAAGAGATCTCAACAACAGAGAAACCACGTGTGTAATGCAAGAGCCAAAGACGACAAACGAGCCAATGTGGAGGTAACAAGGGAGAGGCTGTTCCTTGAAAAACCCTCAGTATCTCTGTGGATTGCCTCAGAAAGGAGATGGATAGTAGACAAATACCACCGAAAAAAAGGAAAGGTAAGAGATACATGGGCATTGGAGAAATGCATAGGAAAATCAGGTACCACCTCCTACACAGGTAAAATCAAACCCAACTTCTGAGAGTTGAGAAACAGACAGTCAGCCCGATGGTAAGCTAAAGCCAACTGATCAATAACCTGTGGAGGGTGAGGCATGCTGGTACTCTCAACCAATTGTGAAGCAAATTGCTCAGCATGGGCCCAAATATGTGGAGAGGGTGGGAAAAGAAAATAGTAAGATGAAGACACTGCAAAATCCAGTGGTGGTAAAAGGTTATCAAAATCCTTGTTGGCCTGAACAGGAAGAAGTGGGGCAAGTTCAGGAGAAGAAGGTTGACCTATATAATGATCAACTTCTTGGCGAATAATTGCAGATAAATCCAATAACAGGTCTCCCCCACCCGTGAAGTAGTGCTAGTAGGAGGTATGATATTCGAAGTGGTAACATGAACCTCAGAATTCATAGTTGAAAAATAAATCAAACAAATGTGTTTGATGTAAAAAAAAAGTTGAGAGAGAAAGAAAAAGACTGGGAAACTAAGTTATCTAAAAATTCTTCCACAAAGTACAGAAAAAAAAATTAATGAAGAAAGTCCACTTCAGAAATTAAACTAATAAAATCCATGAATGTGAAACATATACAGAGCACCAAAAACATCTTGATGCGATTACTGCCAAATGAGAAATGATAGTTCAGGAGAATTGAATAGAAGGAGTCACATGCATCAAGAGAGTGTATCACACTCTTGTTTGTGAAGGTTTCTTGTATGCTAATTTGCATGTAAGATGCTTTGGAATTAGCCAATTCCAAATGGGTAGGAGTTTCAAGGCTTGTAGCATGCACAAAAATTTTTTGCATATAGAAGGCAGCACTGAAAAAGAATGCTATTTATATGAGCGGAGGTAATGTACTGTATTGGAATATTAGCTATAGTGTTTGCACATTTTAGAATTTGCTCAACCAAACTGCTGGTCATCCAAATTGATAAATATATAGTTTTATTCATTACTTAATAGGTCTATTAAATTTCAAATTTATAATTTGAGTAAAAGCTTATTATGTAATAAGGAAGTTTCACATCTTCATTACTGATAAACATAAGCAGATAGCAAAAACGATTTATCTTAGGTTTCAGCACATCAGAATATCTACACATTATGCCCAACTTATGTTTTTTTCTACTCAATTACATAAATAAAACATATCATTGTTAATTCCACACTAAACTTTTATACTGTTATAGGAATAGTCATGAAATTTGGCATACAGTGAAACATACTTAGAAAAGAAATCAGCAATGACATCAACATTGTTGAATGATTCAAGATCTCTAACAATGAGGAAGTTGGGGTGTGACTAAATGTAGATACGAGTTATAAACCCAATGTATACATAAATTATAAATCCCGGACCAACTTTCAAAAATCTATCAGTCATGGCTATTTTACTGGGTCAGTCAGAGAAGAGCAAACAAACAATATTTTATTTCAAGACTTACAAGCTACTTCAGTTTCCTTTAATTACTGAAAAATAATACAAGTCAACATATAAAATCAAAATATTAATGTAGGTTACTAATACTTTATACAGGAGTAAAATTTTGTCATCCATAAGTGTAATTTATCACAAAAGTGGTACCAGTATTAGCAAAATCTAGGAAATACAATACACCAAACAGCATTGTTTAAGTAAGCTGGAATTTCATCTGACTTCTCAGCAATGAACTAAATTAAATCATCAGCTAATACATGAAATAAACAGAGTTATTATTCCTTAGCTACTAAATAGTATTAAAATATATTCCCAGTTTCAATAATATAAAAAAAATGTCAGAAATATTTGTTATTAGTGACAGGAAGATGAAACATTAATGATTATTTCAAGCAATAGGAAATTCAAATAATACTGTTAATGAACATTATTATTATTTTGTAACACTGTTTGCAAAAGTCCAGTTATTTTTACATTTCTGTAAATTATATCATGTTAGACAGATTTTCACAAACCTCAGTTCTTCTCCTGCATCCTTACTAAAAAGCTGAGTTCCTGTTTTGATGTCTAATACTTTCAATGTTTGGTCTGTACTGCAGGATGCTACTGTTGAACTGTCTGTAAACATCAACTATAATGATTATCATCACATCACACAAGAAATAACTTTACTGCAGAGCATTCTAATTCAATAAATTTCCTAAGTGCAATGTAAATAAAATTTCTCTTACCCCCAAACCAAACAAAATTCTCATCGTTCTCAGTAAAATATAACTTAAAATTTACTATTCGACATATCACAAAACATATCATTGACAAAAGTCAATATTTATGTGTGTAAAAAGCTTCTTCTGTATATGAAAAATATAACCTGTAACTTATTGTTATGTGCAAAAGATGCTCATCTCTATACTTAAAATGTTACCCAATAATTATTCACATATATAAAATGAAACCCATCTCTACATGTACATTATAACCCAATGTTTGTATGGCACATGAAATCAACATCATACTGAGGGGGCAGCCACAAGTACTGAGAAAGCTACCAGTTATCTCACCAACACAACCCCCCCCCCCCCAACTTCATGTGAATCAAGAATAAGCTGCTTAAGGAAGCCTCTGTTATGAGTTGGTAAAAAATAGACCCTCTCTGTGAAAGATCATCTAGAAAGGCAAACAAGATATTGCTGTACCCAGCCAAGACCCTGAAGAAGGTCCCTCCAATGCTGACTACCTATAGTTGCTCCACAGACTGAGCAACATAAATTTTAAAACAAGGTTCCAAAAAAACTCCATCCCAGTACTTCAGCAAGCCAGTTTGTGTTACCAACATTGATTCCTTTTCTTTTATAACATGAAAGTAGAGCTGCATGCCACTATACTGCGATGATGTTTTTTTGCCCATTTAACATTTGCCTCTTAGCCCCTGTTGTCCTTTCAACTCAGAAATCTACTGTCCCACTTTATCATAACTCACATTTAACCTACTGCTGGAGCTAATAACATGGAAGGGTTAGTAAATTAACTGGAGTCCATTTGGTCCTTTTGAAGCTTCTTATCAGTGATTCAATTATTCAATGGCTAACCTATTATTTTATAGCTCTCCTCTAAGGTCCTTGATTTTCACTAAATTTAGTATTGTTATATTAACAAAACAAAAGAAATTTTAATCTAGTTAAGTTTTTGTTGTATACTTTAAATAAAAGGCTTTATGTACTCTCAAACATGCTTGTAGACATTTTGCTCTTCACTGTCATTCCATTGCTCTTGGGTCATTGATAACCTACGTGAAAAAGGTGTCTAATATGGAATAAATCAATATTCATCACTTAAAATAGCAATTATGACTGCCATGTAGTCTATTCTGGTATACATACATATGTAGCTGTAGCTGGAGGCTTTTGTGTTTGGAAGGCAGCTCTTGGTCTACTCTTGTACAGTCAAAAATTGGGATTTGATTATGGTTCTTATAGTGCACCCATGACTCCAAAGTATGGAGTGTTTTTGCGACAATGGGACACAAACCATAAACTTTTGGATTCATAGTCTGAGCACACTAACCAAAAGGTAATATCTTGCCTTCTCATCACTGGAGGTACAATGTGTTTTACATCATATATGACCTCTTGCACATCTTGACAAAACCCAAGCATGCAACAATGGGATGATGGTAGTGAAGTAATCTATACTTCAATTTCCAAACAGGTGCATGTGGTGAATGTAATAGCCCTGGCTGCAGTTACCAGCAGCCCCAACCACTAATGGGGTTGTTTGAGTGCTGGTAGTATTATGCATATGATTGATGGTGAAGGGGTCTTTATCAGTGGCCATTTAGATATATTTTAGCTACAAGGAATTTGCTTGTTTCTTCATATGGTCACCCAAACAAGAAGCAAAACCCAAGACAGTCAAAGTGACATCTGCATTCTTGTACGAGACCTTGATCTCTTGCTTGGTGGCAAGCACTATCAAACCAGCCTTGTCATTATTTAACATGGTCATATTATTGGCTGGATATATTGGGTATTGTTAGCTTTGAGAAGCTGTCCTGAAACTTCTAGGTAAGCCTCAGAAGGGAGAATGTACTGGTTACTGTTGTTAACCCTCTCGCCACAGATAAGTCAAAGTGCACATGTCAAAACCTTTTAGAAAGTTGCATTCAAAATTTAATAAAACTACTTTATTATCACTGTATACAACTAAACTTGGCACCAAAACACTGTTAACCCTATCGTAATGGGCATCTTTTACTGTGCATGTCACAAAGTTTTAGTGACTTAGATTCCAAATTATATTAATCTATTTTTTGTTTATGTTATACCAATTAGTATAGCATAAAATTGCGGCTAATAATCCATATTTTAATAGTATATAAGTTTTAAGTTCTTAATTTTATAAGGCAATATTTAAAAAAATCCTGAATTTCTCCTACTGTGACATATGTTCTCTATGCATCTCCACTTCTCTATTTTATCCACCACCCCTCCAATAAGTATGAAATTCAACGTAAATTACTCATTATCATTGCTCAGACAAACCATAATTTCTATAGCCTTCATTTTTGTTTGGTCACAGAGCTATCAAATAGAATATCAGACCCCTTTTGCCACACCCACCTGTCACATCCTCTCTCTCTCAGGATTTGTTAATAGTTCTCTCTTACGTTTAATTCGTATTATCTATGACCAATAGAAAGCCATGTTTTTCATCTATCAAATGACGTATTGTATAACATTGTGTTCTGAATGTAGAATTGTCAATTTCACTATCAGTACAAGCTTTGCTTCAATGGGAAAGACAACGACTAGCTTGGATGAATTTGTAACTGCTCTTGTCACATAGTTAGAAAGCCAGAAAATTGTGAGAGTTAGGGGAAATTATCTAATTTAGTGCATTACTACCATTAGTATAAAAAAGTAATGTTACGTGTCATCAATAATCGCCAAAAAAAAAAAGAAGATTTGGATATGTACCCTATTTCGTGTTTTTCATGTTTATTCTTTCTTTATTATTATAAAAGTAATTAAAATGTAAAAATAGGGATCTCTTTAGGTTAGTTCAAATTAGATTAGGTAAAATAAATAATAATAATAATATAAAAAATGTTTCAACTTGTGGGTAACATAAATCGATAGTGTAACGTGACTTCCACATTCTCCAAGTGATTTGCAAACAGTAGTTAGAAACATTCAAAGGGCAATAAAACAATAAATTTTAATTATAAATAGATGTATACTGTTACGAGTTTAAAGATACTTAGGATGAACAAATGTAGTTTCATGTTACAATTTGAAGTCATTGTACAAAGAAAAAAAGGGTAATTTAGATTTATTTCTATTCTTTTTTGGTGGTTACAAGGTTGATCAAATTGACCATTGTTGTATAGAGATAAGGTAGAGAAAATAACAGATAGATATAAAGTATTACTGAAAACAAACATTTGAAATGTTTTTTAGGAGGTTTAGAGATTATACAAATTAAATCTGAGATTTTTGATATGAAGAAAAGTATTTTTAATCTTAACATGAAAATCACTTTGCACACAGACTATTCAAAACAAATGCTCGATATTTTCATGACAAATTTTTTTGTATGTGAAAGAATTTTAATGTTTACTGAATTACTGCCAAATTTTGTGAAGATATACATACTATGTTAAAAGTTTGTAGTATCAAGTCTATAAATACTTTATACGAGTACAAAGAGGTCATGTGGTCGGTCAAATTGACCGAGCCCGTATTGAAAGAGTTAAAGTGAGCTATTCAGTTTCAAATTGGTATCATAACAGTAGCAAGTATCAAGCAAGCTGATGAAGACTGAGAGAATTTTTTAAACATTTCTATTTGAAATTAAGAAGTTAAAAACTTAGATAATATACAAATCTGATTTATAAACATTTTCATGCCAAGGATTATTGATATACATGAGTAACAGAGTTGTTTAATTAAATTTGAATGTAACACTGTAAAAGGTTGTTACATGCAAAAAGGAGCCAGACCTGAAGATGAAGGGAAGAACCAATTTGTCTTCATCTGAACACATTGGATATCCAAAAATACTGAAAGGTAAAACAGCTTGTTCCAGTGATGAAGAAGAGCTCACAGAATTGGGAATACATTGATAGAAATATATGGATATCAGAGCAGTTAGGTTATTTCATCCCACTGGTTGTGATGTAGTAAAAGGTCTGTACCATCCAAGCAGACATATTACAGATCTTCCAATTATATTTAATGCCTCATTCATGCCAGTTTGTCTTGTGCATAAGATAGGGTCAGCTTCCATCATAGAGAAATTAAAAAAATCCTCAATCTCCCCTACAATGAGAATTGTGATATTTGCTCTCTAGGTCTTCCCTCTTCTCTAATTTATTTACCACCTCTCTGAGAAGTATGAAATTTAATGTAAATTACTCATTACAATATATATTATTAAGGCAAAGTATAATTTATAGCCTTCAATCATATTTGTTTATGGAGTCATGAACCAGAAAATCAGATATGCCTGCATTGCCCATCCTCTCATTCACAAATTGCCAGTAATTCAATCTGATCTTTTATGCTGTATTATTTACAACCAATACAAAGCCAAAGTTTTAACCTATCAAATGACATATTACATTACATTTAAAAATTTTTTCTCATGGAAATCATATCAACAAGTAAAGATCTGATTTTGGTCCAAAAGATGCAAAGCATATGTAAGAGTGGGGCATTTCCATCACAAGCTCAAGCAAGGGTTATGTGTCAAAAGTGCTGCTTGAAATGTAGAAAATGAAAGTTGGGTCCATTTGGAACATTCAGGTAGTCCATCCTTGAACCCCATAATTAGCCAACTTCCTTTTGAACTATAGTCCCAATAACACAACTTTACTGGCTCTTGGGTCTTGATTAGGTAAAAGGTAAACTTGGATGGCTCTTCCTAGAGCTGGAATGTTCTCATAAATAAAGATGATGCTTTGTATATCATCCCAACCTCCTTATGGGCATGTTAACTCTGCTGTGATGGAAAAATTATTCAGAACACAAAAGCACTTGGGGCTCATCAATAAGCTAGGTGGGATGTAACTTGATTGGCACAAAGAAATGTTTTGGATTTGGCTACTAATGATTTCA